CAAAACACTTTGAATAAAAGCTTTCTCTGTGACAAGGGCTATGTAGAAATTCACTAACATGAAAGAAGAACAAGACAGTTTTTTATCTTCTGTTTGAAGCTGGAAAAATTTTTGCTTTCATGTCTCCTTTTAATATTTATCTTTTTGTCTGCCTCTTCACACTACTTTGGATTGAGAAAAGATAGTACTGAATCAGAAGATGAAGATGCAGTAAAGGGAGATTAATTTACTCAGCTGAACCAACAGGCACTCTTTAAAAACTGTTCAAGAACGACAGGAAAATGGCCTTGGCAAGCATTCAGGTCAGGATGAGATTTTCACGGTTTTAGAACTTTGTACAGCAAAACTAATGGGGCTTCAGAAACACGCATGTACTCAAACTCATCACTGAAGGCTTAGCTCACTTCCACTAGAGATTTATTCTGGAAAGAAAGAAGATATAGCCTTTTTTTTTTTTTTTTTTGCTTGTTTTCACTTGGAAACAATCATAAGTAAATGTTTGTCTGAATAATCAGAGAGCTTTAAGTGCTGACAGGTTTATAAGCAGGTACAGGGCACAAAGGCAGAAAATTACTGATTTGTCACTGCTGCTATTCACATCAGCAATTTTAAAAAAACCAACAAGTTTGTTTTACTACTGTTTGGGAAGCTGAGAAGCACCAACAAGGATGAGGAAAAGGCTAAGGTATTTAATGCTTTCTTTGCCTCAGGCTTTAATAAAAGACTAGTTATTTTTGGGGTATCCAGCCCCAAGTTGGAAGACAGGGAGCAGAAAGAAGTCCTCTTAATTCAAGAGGAAACAGTCAGTGAGCAGTTACACCAGTTAGCTACACACAGGTCTACTGAGCCAGATGGGATCCACCCCAGGGTACAGAAGGAGATGGCAGGAGTGCTCACTGAGCCACTTTGCATCACTCACCAACAGTACTGGATAAGTGGGGAGGTCCCTGTTACTGGAAGTCAGCAAACACGAGCCCGTCTATAAGAAGGGCTGGAAGGAGACTCCAGGGAAGCACAGGACTCTCAGCCTGATTGACATCATGGCCAGGGAAGGCTGTAGAACAGATGATCCTGTGTGCCATCACAGGGCACATGCACGACAACCAGGGGACCAGGTCCAGCCACCCTGTGTTTGTGAAAAGCAGGTTCTGCTTAGCCAAGCTGACCTCCTCCTCCAAGGTGACCTGCTCAGTGGACGGGGGCAAGGCTGTGGATGTTGTCTGCCTGGACTTCAGCAAAGCCTGTGACAGCTTCCTCCAGCACCCTCCAGGACAAACTGGCTGCTCATAGCTTGGATGGGTGCAGAATTTGCTGGGTGAAGAACTGGACAGCTGAGCCCAGGAATGGTGGTGAATGGAGTTACATCCAGCTGGCAGACAGTCACAGGGGGTGTTACCCAGGGCTCAGGATGGACCAGTTCTGTTTAACAGCTTCTGGTTACCAGCTTTACTAATGATCTGGATGAGGGGATCAAGTGCACCTTCAGACAACACCAAGTTGGGCAGGAGTGTTGATCTGATGGAGGGTAGGAAGACTCTGCAGAGGGCTCTGGGCAGCCTGGATTGATGGGCAATTGTATAAGGCTCAACAAGGCCCGGTGCTGGGTCCTGCCCCTGGGTCACAACAACCCCAAGCAGCACTACAGGCTGGGGGCAGAGTGGCTGGAAAGCTGCCTGGTAGAAAAGGACCTGGGGGTGCTGGTCAGCAGCTGCCAAACATGAGCCAGTGTGTGCCCAGGTGGCCAAGGCCAGTGGCATCCTGGCCTGGATCAGCAACAGTGTGGTCAGCTGGACAAGGGCTCTGATCTCCCCCTCTATTCAGCACAGGTGAGGCCACACCTCAGCTCAGTTTTGGGTCCCCTCACTACAAGAAGGACACTGAGGTGCTGGAGTGTGTCCAGAGAAGGGCAACAGAGCTGGTAAAGGGTCTAGACAATAATTCATATGAGAAATTGCTGAGAGAGCTGGGAGAAAAGGAGGTTCATGGAAAATCTTACTGCTCTCTACAACTATCTGAAAGGAGGTTTGTAGCCAGGTGGGGATTGATCTCTTCTGCCAAGGAACAAGTGACCAGGCAAGAGGAAACAGCCTCAAGTTGCACTGGGGAGATTTAGATTGGATGTTCAGAAATTTTTTTTGTGGAATAGGTTGTCAGGCATTGGGACAAGCTGTCTGGGGGAGTGATTGAGTCCACATCCCTGGAAGTGTTTAAAAGACATGTAGATGTGGCACACAGGGACATGGCTTAGTGGCAGATTTGGCAGTCCTGTGTTAACAACTGGACTTGATCTTAAGGATCTTTTCTACCTTAAATAACTCTACATCTCTATTTTAAGACAAAGCAAACCAGATTCACATTTTTCACGACTCTGCTTATATTTTCTCTGCTTCTCTAGTACCTTGGTGATATGCTCTAAATGGCTTAATGCAAACCCTACACATCTTGAAAACACTCAAGCAGAGAGGTGCAAGGCAAGCAGAAGAGACTTCTTTTGTTTCTAATGTGACCAACCAAAAGAGTAGCAAAGTAACATGCCTTCTAACTCCTACCTGTTTGCCAGCTCAATATATGCAGGAGGAAGGAGAATAAATTGTTTCTTTCCTGTGAACAAAAACTTGGTTTCAAAGGTATAAAATGCCAAACAAGAGAAGTGAGTCACTGAACTGATGTCCAAAAAGGCTGCTCCTACAAAAATTCACAGAATCCAGTAATGGCTCTGCTGCAATGGCACGTAGGAAGTCTCATGCCTTTTCCTGGAATGGAGCATGAAGTTTCACCAAAATAGGGTTCTTTAATCTTCAAGCTGAGCCTTTCATGGATTTAGACCTGCCCTAAACCTGCAGTCAGGAGTCAGCTGTTGTCCCCAACCCATCCCTGTGCATCTGCCCTGCTCCCCACTGTGCTGGCTGCTCATGCCAAGCTGTTGTCTGAGGACTTCAGCTGTCACCCAGAAAACACCACATCAATATTCTGAGCCCCGTTCTTCTAGGAGGATGAGGAGTTTTGTATGACTTTTATGTTGAGCTGGCAGAAAAGCTGGGGCAAATAGGAAGAAAAGTATTCCATAGACAATCTGACTCCAGCTAACCACTACAGGTAGGAAGGTTTCTATAAAGAAATATTGTAAAGAAATCAAGCAAAACTAGAGCACTTTCATAATATTGTAACATTTAAAATGTGTATTTAAATCACATCCTGAAATTTCTGTAAATGCAGTATTTGACAATCCATTTCCTAAAGAAATCTGTTACAAAAAACCCACCCTAGAATTAAATAGCCAAGAAAATATAAAACATGCCACTTCACTGTTAAGTATTACACTGCTAATAAACTTTGAAACGAAAAATGTTTCATTTATCAGAAAACACTAAGAAATGCTGAACACTACTATGCAATACTGCTGCAATTCAATGCTGTCTGATTTAGAAGACTCATCAGCCTTTTCACTACTCTCAAAAAAAAACCCCAAAGGTCTTCAGGTTTGCAACAAGAGCCAAAAGAGAAGCTACAAATAGTTTTATACATCTTGCGTAACTGTTTTATATTTTTGCCGATTTATATTGTAAGAAAAAGGTAAATACATTGTAGATACATAATGTATACACTACAGAAGAAATGTGGTACCTTAGTGGCAAGGATGTACCATAGGTACAGAGAATGGGATCCCTAGGGAGGAGCAAGAGGTTAAGACTGTTGATCTTTTTCTCTTCTACCTGATGCTGAATACCATCTCTGTAAAATCAGTCTGATCAGGAAACATCCCTTTGACCCTCACATATGGCTACTCTTTTGATCTTGCAGTTTGGAAGAGGAAAGAGATCATTTATTAAAAGTGTGAAGTCCTAATGGTTTTTATTTTTTAAAGATAATACATTAGAAATGGAACTCTCAAGGAATCAGAAGAGAGAACACAGAAGATCAAAATTTTGTTTAACTCCTCTTGTTTGCATATAAAAAATCATGCCCATAGTTAAGTTCAATATCAATTCCCAATTGCTCAAAATATTTTATTTTCCAAGAAAACAAAAATAAACACACCCTGCCCCCAATTTTATAATTTCTTACTACACTGTCTACAGAAGCCTGAAGCCATGCACTCACATTAATTACCATGCAAACAAAATGCCCTGTAATTAAGCAGGCTTTGGCAAAGATCTGCAGTACAATCATAATTCTAAAGAATTTAAAAAAACCCAAATGCAAGGAATCCAATCTGGTGGCACAGATAGCATGGTTCCTGAAAATAATTTCCAGATTAAATTTACAGCCCGGGCAATAAGCATCTGCAGTCAGCTTTAACCTCTGCATCCTGGCTAAATGCTAACTGGCATCACTCATTCAAGTCCTTCCAAAAATTCCTTAGAAGTTTCATCCAAATTCAATCTTCCTCACATTCCGTGCTATAAAAGTCTCTAGAGTCTTGCTGCATACTTTTAAATATCTGCCAGAAGAACCAGCACTCCCATGATACAGAGTGTAATCTGTTTGCATGGTTTAAAAATACTTCCATAGCCTGTGGAATGGGGACTATTTTGTCAGAACTAAATTAAATTGGTTATATTGGTAAAGAGTTATTCCAGGCACAAAATTAATGAACTCAGTGCAGATTTAGATCCCCTTTTAGTGTCTGGCTATACACAGATGAATGTTAACAGAAGTGTTCTGCCACTTTTAAAACACAAGTGCACAGTTTAAAGTCCTAAGTTACCATCTCTTGCATGTTGACTGGAAACATTATAAATCACAATCATTTTAAGAGGCAAAAACATATAATAGCATTCTGGCTTTTAACAAACATACTGTACATAATTATGCTACAGAAAAGTGAGAGTGGGGGGAAAAACCCAACAACTTCAGAATGTGAATTCTAGTGCTAGAAGGAAGGAAAAAAGTTCACTGTATTGTTTATGAGTAAAAGAAGGGGAAAGTTTTATGCATTACAATAAAAAAAAATTAATAGAAATCAACGAAAAAGATTTTTCACCAAAAAAATGCCTTACCTTGAGAAGTTGAGGAAATGAACATGTCTAGTGAATAAATAGGGCTGCTCAGCAGTGCTTATGTTTTTAATCAATTCCATCTAAAAAGAATTAACAAATCAAATTTTCCACGTTACATCAATGCACAATTTGAGACAAACATAAAACTTTCAAACAACAGATGATGATATAATTTTCAAGTCTGAACTGCTCAGGACCTCCTTCCCCACTATCCCTCCCAAACACAGTCATCAAGAGAGCATGATGAATATTTTATGTCTAAGCAAGAAAGGTTGAGCTGCAGACACCATTCTGCTACCATGGAGCTTATGTACTTCCAAAATACTTCCAGAAACAGGAATCAGTCTAAACAAAGGCATAAACTAAAGGAAAAATCTAAACTGTCTAAATCTGCAAGAGCCTTCCAAATGGCTGCTACCCTCTGAAGACACTAGCTCTATTCACCCCAATGCCAAAAATGCAAAATGTCTGTAACAGAAAGCAGGAGCTGAACCAATGGTCATTTTTGTGTAACAATAAACACTGCCAACACAGTCAAGACACCAATTGATTTGCTTGTTTAAATATAGAAATCAGGACTTGCAATTTCTTTTACTATTACAACAAATTAGGACTACAAACTGAATGGGCACTTTGAGAAAGATGATGCTAAATTCTAGTTCAGGCTCATTCACATAATGTGATTTTTTTTCCAAAACATAATTAATTAATTTGAGTTTTCAGGCCATTAAGATAGAATAATGTAAACAACACCATAGATATGATAATTATTTTGTGTGAGCTGAACTCCAGCTATGATTTACGGGAAAATGGAAGCACCTAGTGAAGCATCATGCTAGAAAGTCAATGTTTCAGTTAATTTTGCTTCCTTCTTATTAATTTCCTAAGATTTAATTTCCAATTTTCTGTTCTGTGTTCAAATGCATGCTATGTTATGGACACTGAACAAAAACACACTTGAAATGACAGGTTTATTGATTTTGCAAACTGGGTAGTAGAAAGCAATTCATACACTGGATAAAAAAGGAGGCAAGTCTGTGAACTGCACGTTCTGATTTGAATCATATTAATCTATGTGAGGGGACAGTAAGTAAAAAATGTATTTCTTAAAACTGGAATGCTATAGTTGACATAGATAAAATAAGCAAGAACATGTAGTCCAGCCTGTTGTGTGGTCAAAATAAAGTAACTAGCATATGTGGAGTTACTAGCAGCAAAAAGAGCATGGTAAAAGATTCTGCCCATGCCATAGCAAATACCAAACCACATTTAAGAGACAGCAGTTGCCAAATTTTTTCCCCTTCTAATGTCCAGTTTCAATGGACTGGTATTTTGCCATGGTTTTTGTAATTTACATCACATCTTATTGCTTTTTATCCATCCTCCACTTGCATCCTCTGCTTTTTCCCAGTGCACATACGCTGCTGCCTTCTTTCAGCCAACATAAGCTACAGCCATTTAACTGCCAGAAAAAAGTGCACACACTTAAACACTTTCTCTACTTTCCCTCTGTCTTCAACAATTCTATACACATACATGTATGATGACCACTGAAGCAAGCAGTTCAGCTTGTCCATCTTCTCAGGATGGACCTTTTCCTGTCCAACTGGTTTGAGCACATCAGGGTGTTTGAGGCACAGACCTTATACATCACAACATATTAGGTTTGAGAAAGTATAGCAAGGTGTGTTACATCTAAAAAAGGCTAAAAATCCAAAGAAATGGAATGTAAGATGAGATCACCAAAAGGGAAAAGAGAAACAAGAGAATATGGAGAGAACATGTGCAATTAAAAAAAATTAACACAAGGAATTTAAAGAAATATTCAGGAAGGGAATAGCATCCCTTCCTCAGCTGGTCATATTTGGAGTCTGGACTGCTTGATTCAAGCATAAACTGGCCTTTGCACAGCTTCTTCAGTACAATATAAATGCATTGGGCAAGAAATTCATAAACCTGAAGGGCAAAGCTTGTCCAGATCAGAATTAGAAAGCTCAGGAAGCTTTGCAGTACTTAGCACAAAGGAACTGAGTATTGTTTCTTCATGCTCTGAAGAGACAAAGGCTTTCCTAGCAAACCAGTATATTGACATTTCTTTAGAATGGTAACTCACTCTGACAAAAAATTATATTCTTCATTCACCTTGCAGAATCAAACAATAGAAGACCCTGTAGCCTGTGTATCAGATGTCTCAACTGAATTCTGTGATAGTCAACATGCTACAGATTCTTTTTCTGGCTTTGTTTTTTTTTTTTTTCTTTTTTTCCTGAGACAAGTTACAGGAGAAGTGAAATTCTCAGAACTGTATAAAGACTGATGTTATAATTTGCATTTTACTTGTGTTGTTCTATCTGCATGAAGTAAAGAACGAAGACAGCAAAAGGAAGTTACTGATCTCGTACAAAAACTCTGTTTGTGCCCCTATGGTCATCACTAATCCCCTCTTGGTAATTCCCTCTTGGCATAAATGAAAAAAAAAAAAACCTTACTAGGGTATAAATATGGAGATATAAGGATACTATACCCATGCAAAGTAATCTCACTAAATCTAAAAACAGAGGCGGCTCTAGTAGAATACTGCTAGGTAAACGTAGCTGGGGGTATATGTGAGTGTTGCAAAGCATCACTTGAGCTTCCCCAGGCTCCCAGCTGTCCCCAGGGCTGGCACCCATTTGCCATCAGGAAGCAGATTCACATCACAGCACTGCCACATTTCTCACTCCATTCCACCTGATGTCAGTGTCACATGAGCCTGCTGCTGGACGAGCACAGACACTTCAGCCTCAGGAGCAAAGGGAGGCTGGAAAGATGCACACAGTGCAGGACAGCATCTGCCTCCTGGCTTTTTTTTTTTTGATCTCTTGCTACCAAACTCAGTCTCTTGAGCAAAGACAACAGCTTGCTCTAAAGCAGAAACAGAATTTTGTTTTGACTTAGAGTACCTTCATATTTAGATACTTAATGATCAACTAAGCAGCATTGTAAGCAGATGTGGATAAAGCTACAGTGTGAAGAACAAACAAGCAAAATCCATTCTTCTAAAAACCCTGCCAAAAGGGTAACTAAGGCTCAACTGAAATGACACACAGATGTCAGGAGGGAAAAATATATAACTGTAATGGCTCATGGCCACATGCAAATTGTGGCCATATTTCCCATGGGCCTCTCCCTCTCTCATCATGCTGTCCTGAAATGCTTTCAGGTTAACAACCCAAATGTACTGCTCAGAAGGATACAGTAAGCCCTTCCTCTTTCTAAGATTATGTTAATAAAAAAAAAAAACAAAACACAACAACAAGAAAAATCTCCAGTGTCTCTCAGAAGAATAAGTTTGGTTGGTTGGTTTTGGTTGTTTTTTTTTGTTTGTATGCTTGTTTCTCTAAGATGAAACAAGTATGAAAGAAACTAAGATGTAGAGGACCCGACCCACAGAGAGGAAGAGTGAGAAGAGGATGAGGGCTGAAGAAAAAAATGCTTTTGGATGAAATGACTGATGAAGGAGAATGACATACAAGTACAGATGATCATATCATCCTAAGTTTGAAAAGAAATAAAAGCAGCAGAAGATAAACAATCCTGGCAAACACTGCTAGGGAAGAGATGAGTCAGAACATATCCATGGTTGGAGGGAGAAGCTGTAGAAATATTTGGAGAAGTACAAAAGGAGCTTGCACCTGCTGGGATTAAGAGCTATTTCTCTGTCTCACTGCTGTCCAGAGCTCTCCTGCAGGAATTAGGCAGCTTCAGTGAAACATAGCTGAAAAATACACTAATTTGCTCTTGAAATTAACTTGCAATGGGCAAGCAGTATTGCGATGGGTTGGTGCTGTATTGCAAATAAAGCTCCAGCAGATGGCACCGTGAAGTGACTCCAAGAGGGCTGGATGGGATGGATTTTCTGTAGCCTCAGCATTGTTTCTGCACAAAACCTCAACTCTGGCCTTCGAGACAGGGCGCCTTTCCCTCTTCTGGAGATGGCCAGTCCAGTCCCTGTGCTAACCACTCAGGGAAGTCCCACTTTAGCTGTCTGAGGTTTGCAGTAAGTAAATTCTACTGGGAACAAAAGGAAATAACCAGGTAACAATCCCACCCAAACAACAGACAAAATGTTACTGTATTTTTTTAAGATGCTGTATTTCAGTGTGAGAATTTGAGGTCAAAATATATAATAATGGTGAGGCAACTGGGATTTTGCAATGTGGCCTGCTGTATCACACTATGGTCTCCACTAATATTGACACAAAAAGGACAAAAAAACCCCCTCTGTATCTATCTTCCCTGTGAGCCCTTTACTTTCTTCCACTGCTTTCAGTCTCTACTGAAGGCATGTAGGGCTCAGGAGGCACAAGTACCTACAAGAATTTTGGTATATCACTTTCATCTCAGTACTCATTTCCATAAACAACTCACAACTCCCAGGAATGAGCCTAGATCTTCATTTTCAGCTCTCAAAAGCTTGGAATGGTTTCAAGAATTTCTTCACCTCCCCAAGCTGGTATGACCAATTTTCTGTCTTTAAAAGCATTTTAGAAAAATTAGTGATGGATTTTTAGTGCGTTGAACTGGAATTACACATAAAGTTGGCTGCACAGCCATAATGATGGGTGGTAGAAGGAAACAATTTAAGGATAAACTACCAATTACTCTTGTATGTGACTAGCATTTCTATACCTATAAGCATACTCATTCTTACTTCTCTGAATGCAATAAAATGGTAATGGAGGACAAAGTCAGGGCAGGGGAAGACTTCATTTTGCAACAGTTTGAGTGACATTTTAAAGCCACATCAATTAGGTTAATATTATGTGTTATTTCCTGTATTTAATTTACTTGAAAATATTACAGCAAATGGCAAGCCATATATTAATACATCTGTTTCCAGAACTCACTCCCTTATGCCCACAGATGTTCAAAGGCTGCACTTCTAATTGCTGGCAGACACACATAATTTGGGAAAATTTCTTAGTAGGAAGCAGACTGGAAAAGGCAATGAGAATATGGATTCCAATTATGTGCAATCCCCACAGCCATTAAAAACACCTACATGCTTAACTTTATTTAACAACGGCAGACTGCATAAGCTAAATATTTACAGAAAAGTCTTGGCTGGATCAGGGCTTTAACCAAACACAGGACCCAGAAATGACAGAAGGAAGAGAGACATATCATCTCAAGTGAGAAGCCCATGCTCATGCTGGAAGCCCAGCCCAGCTTTCTTTTTTCTTGTTCCAATGCCTGGAGCCTCAGATCGTTCATTGCCTTAACTTCCTCCTGTTACACCACATTAAAGGTGGAAAACATCATTTATTTTTTCATATTCTGCTCTTAAAAATTGAGAAGAAAACTAAAAATGCCCTGAACAACAGAATAGTTACTGTCTCCAAGCATGTTCTCTGGTGATCAAAGGCACTTTTCAGCTAAAATACTCAATAAACTATGAGCCTATTTGTAACTATGGAAATAAACCATAAATAAAAATAAAGAGACTCAAATTATGGCAGGGAAATCTATAGAGTAAATCATCAGCTCTGTAGCAATACTTCCAGCAGATTTGCCATTTAGTAAATTAACCATTTGGGGAGTGCAAAAGATAAGGCAGATAATTATTTGTCAGTGTGTTGGTTGCATGAAAAGTAAGTCTGGGTCTCTGGAATCTCCACATGCTGGAGAAGAGCATGGAAAACTGTGAAGAAGTGATCTTGTATCATGTTTTAACAAAGGAAAATCCACCTACCAGAGAAAGACAGAAAAGAACTGAAAGGAAGAAGCTGATCACAGTGACAGCTGGCGATTATTAACACCTGAAAGATTTTTGGGATTTATGGTATGTCCCTCAATCAGCAACGAAAATTGATGAAAGATACAAACAAAACCCGAGCAGTCCTACCCACAGAAATCCCATATCCCAGCAGAAAAACTAAGCAGACAGGCTCAGTAGCACGGGATAGTTTGACTCCTTTCTGATAGGACCACATCACCACCTTCCCAGGCTGCACAGGGCTGCCGTAGGATACACATGGGAATGCTGCAGCAGATGCAGGGCAGGCATTTCCTTGGCCACAAGCAAGGGCAGTGAGGGGACACTGTCCCCCTCCACAGCCTGTTTGTGGTGTGCCACATCCAACCATGCATAGCAGTTGGTTTTGGGCTGGCATGGCAGCCCTGCCCATGGACCCCATCTCTGGCTGAACTTGACTTATGGAGTGTTAGGTCAGTCAGCTGCAGTGGGACTCCGTGGACATCTTGAAGGGGAGGAAGATGGGACCTGAAGGAGCAATATCAGCTCCTAAATTTTCATTTGTAATGAACTGCTGCATCTAAAATAACAAACTCGTGCTCATGAACAGGCTGCAAGTAAATGACCCCCAATCAGAGAACAATGTCACTGGCAGGCCCACATCCATATTTTAATCATTGCACACATCCTTTTGTGGTTTGCAGGCTGCTATTTCTAGAAGTGACACAGGCAGCAATTGCAGCCTTTACCTGATCAGCAGCTCAAAATAGCAGCAGTGGGCAACGTGTGCAGCATCCGACTACAGACGTGCACTTGGAGTCTGAGGTTTTCCTGCACCACTTGTATCAATCTACTCACAGAAGTGATACATACAGTGGGTACCCTGAAGAGAGGAAAATTTAAATAAGCAGATCTGTCACAGAAACAAAGCTGCAGAAGTAATCCTTCTACAACTTTAAGGGAACATGAAAAAGGGTGTTTGCGTTATGACGTTTCATGCGGTATTTCCACTTCCCTCAGTGTGGGTTGTGCAAAAACATGAAAAAGACAGATAAGCAAAAAGCTGAGATAGGATCAAGGACATGTCATATTATAGAAACATGGGTTAGCATGACCCTGGGAAACAATTTTTGAAGCAACTGATTACTACAAGTGAATTAAGAAAGTCATCAAAAAGGACCTTTTTGGCTATTATTTACTCCTGCTCTGTTTAAGACCCAAGCTAGGTCTGAATAAGGTGTCCTGGTTATAGGATAAATGGCTGCAGATACATTAATACATGTCCCAGATCTGCTTGCACTTAACTTCACTGTACTGATCTTTCTTGCCTTGCTGGCAGTCTAACTGCTATGCTGATTAAATTCAAGAGCTGTCTCACTGGAAGTTAATTTTTCTGGTTAGCTGCCACATCATGCTGTTCATGGCTCTGCCACCCATTTCTCTTATTAAGTGAAGTCACTTAGAGAACGATGAATTCCGCATGATTACTCAGGACAAAGTAGCAATGCATCTTTTTAACAGGATTATCTGCTAACATGTGCCTTTGTTTCTCAGTTTCATACACATAATAAGAAAACAGGGTCTAAGACAAGCAGGAGTAACTTACCTGCTCATTTTTGGTCAGTCTTGTTTTGTTATGTATGTCAGATGTAACCAGGTTGAATCCATGTTTCTCTGATAAAATTCTTAAAAGCAAAACCACAGTTCGACTTCCACACTTTCCAACTCTGTTGTAGACCACCTGACTGGGGAAAGGAAGTACCTAAACAAAGATTGAGAAAAAAATTGAATCAATACATTGACATTTTGTTTCTGTGTACTTCTCAAAACAACATGCTTTTACCTTAAACCAACAGTCACATAGAGAAGAATTTCTAGGCCCTAGGTCAGAAGCATTCACTTCCCCTAGGAAGGTAGAAGCTCTTCAGAAAAGAAACAGCACAGCTCAGGGAAGTGGCAAGGTGACATTTCCCCCTTGAGATGAAGTTAAATGCAACAGATTGACAACTACTCCAGAAACACTATTATTATTATTATTATGTTGGTAATGATCTAGATCTTACTGCTTGTAATCTCAATGCAAATACTCATCTTTAGTTGACTATCTCCCGTAAAAAGAATTTAAAGGAGTGAATTTGCACTACAGTTTGGGAACTTGAAGTCAAGCTGACATAATGCAGGAGGAATGAATGCTTGGATTGCAAAACTTCAGTTTAAAAAGAAACAAAAGAAACCAAATAACAACCAGTTGCACAGAGCTGAAATTAATCAACCCTTTTAATTTCAAATATAAACATGAATCTTTCAAACAGACTCAGAACAAATCATGCCACTGGTCAAGGATCTACGTGCAGAATAATAAACACAGGGCCACAGGGGGCCTGAGGCCAACTGGCACAGTCTGATCACCTCTGTACAGGTAATGTTCATTAAAAATCAAAATAGAACAGCAACATCCAGCCTGGCCACTGGGAATGGTGTCCAGCCCACACTAACTCTTGCACCCCGCTCTCCTCCCCAGGAAACCAGAACAAGTAAAAAGTAACTCAGTGTCTCACACTCTGTCAGATGCAGCCTTATTTTGTTCCTGGATGATGTCTATGGGCTATTTCAGCAAAGGGCATTCTGGAGTCACACTATTACACTAGACAAGTATTTGCTGTATAGCACATATAGCAGCATGTGATAATACAGGCCCAGAGGAAACTGTTTCCAAGCCTTTAAGCTGGCTAACAGAGTCAGGAGCTCTCAGTTTCACCCACACTGGGGCATAAACAGCACTTAAGGAAAGATCATTTTTCTATTAAGACAATGGCACAAAACATACCCTGACACAGGGCCTGCACCTGGATTCCAGGCAACCTGTGTTCAGCACAAGGAATGGCCACAGTGATGTCTCAGCAGTGTCTCAGCATATAGCTACTCCTGCTGCTGATACAATCATGTTCCTCCAGCAGAAGGAATTCTAACATAAAAGCAATCAGATGAGGCATATGGCACTTCTCAGTGCAGAGTACTTCTTCACTGCATTTGAACTGCTTCAGCAGGGAGGCAAAATTATTCATCAGGCAACCCTTCAGACTACTTTCCAAGAGAACTGCCAAACAGAAAGCAAAAAAAGGAGAAAATCTATATTGCCTTATATTTAGTGGGAACCTACTGGCACTTTGCTCTCAGTGAGCATTTCATGACCAAATGAACATTGCTGCTGTTACTGGTTGCAATGTTTAAGATATTCTGCACTGGCACATAAATGTGGAGGCCATTTTTCCCCAAATCACCCTGGGAAGGAGTAAGTATTGGGCGATCATGGACTCAGTTAAGCTTTCCAAGTTGCAGGATGTCACATCTGCTGATTCAGCAAGCAATGAAGGGCCTCTCAAGGCCCATACAAACCCCACACAGTGCAGTATACCTTACTATTTTGTAACATTTTTAAAAGGTTTTCTATGAGGAACGTAGTCCCCATATTTCTTTATCAATCTTTCCTTCAGAAGCCTTGCTTCTTATGAAATGCAAAATCTCAGCTTCAATTATTAGAAAACTCCAAGGGTGATGAATTTAACATCCCTGTGCTACAGCTGTAGCTAACCTTTCCCAAAACTACTCTTAATGGTGTCTGAAAGGTTAACAATTGAACATGTTTTATTATGCTGATTATCACACCATAACGAAAGGGAACATGAGCCCTATTTTGGATTGTCCCCTTTTTGGTTCATTTCTTTGCATAACAAAGACTAGCATCACTACTTGTCCCAGTCCTGCAGCACCATCCACACATCACTGCAACTTGTGGGTTGGGAATTACTCCTCTGCTAAGACATGCTTTTGGAATAATCTGCTGTGTAAGTGAAAGCCTTCATGAGACATGATAAGTAGATGCTGACAAGTGTCAGTGAAGGGGAAAGAGCACATACACTATATGTTTGCCTAGCATCCCAGAAATTAGATGAATGATGAGAGTTCGTAGAGTTATGGAAATATTTTTAAATGCTTCATAATTATTAACTGCTTTGATTTTCCTAGCTGTTTGGACTAGGCAAGACAGTGAGCAAATTTTTTTTTTTATTGGTACTTCAGTCAAGTACAATTTTACTGCTTACAGATTACACTCAAATTCTAATTAAACCCTTGACTGGATTATCCAGTAACTTTGGGTGAATCTTATGAAAGTAATTCTTTAAAAACTAGATAAAATTAAAGAAGGCCTTTGTAAATTCTCTATTTTAAGCGCAAACAACTTTGTCAGCTTGGAAAAATGACAGTAGTTACTAAGTTCTCACATTGTTTCTGAAACACACCTTCCTAGGTAGCACAATTCTGTTCTGCACACAAACCATGGTAACCCCCAAAAAGACACGACAGCAAATATTCACTGCAGATAAAGGAACCTGAAATAAAGGGCTATTATTTTCAGCTTAAAGGAGACCAATGTATCAATGCCTTGTTTCAGTACACAGTGAATGCACTTAGGTCTAATCAGACAAGATTCAAGATAAGCCCTGCAGCTCAAAGGTCACTCCAGAAGAACAATCACGAGTGGTAACCAGAGCTTCCCTTGCAGCACTGCTGAGTGTGGTTGGCTTTTGGGATGCTCTCCTGAAACTCTGCTCACGTTTCCTCCCTTTACGTCACCATTGCACTTATGACACCCAGACACCCCACAGGGTGTGTCCAGTGCACAAAGCCATGCAGTACACAGGCTTCTGGTGTACAATCAAGTGTTTGTTTAACGTGACCAGTTCCCTCAGGATGCTGCAAATCTGCTTTCCGTATTTTGAAAATTTTGAAGTTGTTTGAGGAGAAGAAATATCACTTCCAAAAGCATGAGTTTGTATCAGGCAAAACTAAAAATGCAAGAAATGGAAAACTTCTCCAGAGGGGAGCTTTCTTTTCCCTCTCATGATACTCACAAGACATTCAGACAATACAAGAAACGGTGGCAGAGAAGGCACTTAGAAAGAAGGCTCCTATTGTGAGAAACAGCAGTTGGACATTTATAAAATGCTAATTGGATTACATTCTATTATTACTTATTAGCTAAGAGTAGGTATCATGTAGACTGACTAACTGTTGAGATGATGCTCTGTCAACTTGATATTCATGTAACAATACACACAACTGCAAAATAATTGCAGAGTGACTTTGTTGAGCACTCTATCAAAGCCCAGAGGTGATATAAACAATTCAAACATATAATTCACTTTAGAGTTACACAAATTAGCACTTACAGCCATAAAAAAGTAAAACCCACAGTATAATTACAACAGCTCTCTCCAAGAGTTTGGAAAGTTATATGACAATTTACTTGTCAGTTCAAACAGGGTTTTTTTGTTTGTTTCACAGTTACAGAATAACCACCGTGAAATGAAATCAAGAAGAAAAAGCAAGTTTAGACCCAAATGAACTTGCATTACAGAAAATGACCGTCAAGTACCTCTGCAGAGAGGTCTGCCAGTCTCAGAAAAGGAGTCATTCAAGACATAATCTGACAAACACCCAGTCTTTCATCTTCAGTGGGGGCTTTGTCTGCAGATAAATCCTTGCACCATAAAAAAAAATTTAGGCTGGATAATTACTTGTAGCATCAGCAATGTAGGGATTCAATCATAGGCCTAAATTATTCCACTTTTACTGAGACAAATCCATTACAATTTTGCCCATTTGCCAAAAATCTCCCAGTCCAGGTACAAGTTGCCCAGGTGTCAGTCTCTGACTCATTTCAGGAGTACAGTGGATACTTTATTCACATCTCCTGCAAGTAAGTGACCCCTGTCCCTACACACAAGTGGGGCCAGAAGCAGATGCCAGAACTGGCTTCTCCTTTCTGAGCAGACATTACCCTGTGGTCAGGCAGTGCTCCATGTTTATCAGGTGAGTAAGGCCAATAACACACAAAGTACTGATAAGATTGTGGAAACAATGCAACATTTGCTAGCATATCTTTATACAGCATTACACCCTCCCAGTCCAACCTCTTAATTTTCTTTTCCTGTCCAACTGAGACAGAATTATAAGAATTTAAAAAATGGCTTAATTGGTCAAAGGAATGGCCCATTTGACTCATGAGAGGAGGATGATACTCATAAAGTAACTACAAAACTGACAGCTGTCAGAAGCCCATTTCTCTCCAGTGCCTCTCTTCTTTCTCCAGTGTTCTCAAAAATTATACATGGCATGTTAGAAGGCACATCCTTCCATGCTGCCTGAAGCTTTTCTTACACAACTTGTTCCAGTATTTTTTTACCCACCATGCATTTAGTTTTTAATTAATCTTCTATGATTTACAGAGAATATCTGTTCTCACATTGTGGATTTCATGAAGACAGATCAGATAATTCAGTCATCAGCTTTGAGATCTTAGATACATTGGATGCTCTTTTCAACTGAAGTTTTTCACAAGTCTGCCATGGTCTTTAATGACAAACTCAAAGGCCACTAAGAGAAAGCCTTCCAAAATTAAGTTCAGGAACTGCTGCTCAAAAATCTCATTTCAAACAAGTATCAACTTGCTCACTTTTAAAGCAATCACAATGAAAAGTTGCTAACACAAAGTTATGTCAGCAGAAAACACGACTGAAGGATGAAGAAGGGAGTAAACAAAATATAGCTGGAATCCTTCTTCCCCATCTAAACCACACAGTTCCAGTTATAAAAACAGTCACCTGTAGAGTGTAGTGATGCTAGACAGAGACAAGATTTTTGAATTAATCAACTCTAAAGCAGACCAGACAGCATGGTCATCTCTACAGGTCACTGAAA